AGAGAAACTCACGGGATTGCCATCATCATTTTCATCAAGCGCAACCGAATCATCAAAAAAAAACTCATCTAGAAAAAGACTCTCTTGATCATCATCCACATATTCATCATTCCTATCTACAAATTCATCGAACGTAAAATTCTTAGGGTTTCGCTTATCCAGGCTAAAGTCATCACTATCAGTTTCTTTATCGTCACTTTCACTTTTTGTGGTTGGGGGAACGAATAAATCTGAATATATTTTATGCTCGGGAGTTTTCTGTAACTCTTTGTGATCATCCTAAAGTATTAAAGTACAAAATATAATTGATTTACGATTCTCAATATCTAGCTAATAAAAGCAACGCATTTGTATCTTTTTTGTTTCTAAAGTTATATTATTACCCATGATTTGGTTTGCATGATTTCCAGCGAACTGCTTGATCTTTTTTACTTGCAAACTCCCAATATTCACGCCATTGGAACGCTTTAGGTTTTTCTTCTGTGTAGACTATTTCTTAAAAAACAGAATTAACAACAATACTTGCAAGAAAAAATTTCTTAAAAGTAAAAGAAGTATCAAACTAAAAGCTATCCTTTAAACCAAGAGTCCCAGTTTGTACTAAGCGTCGAACCAAGAATTCATCACTGAAGACCAAGAGTCTCAGCTTGTACTAAGCGTCGAACCAAGAGTTTATTACTGTTGGACTAAGCAATTAGTTCATTCAAATATCTATTTTACTAATGATCATACCTTCCAATCGTTAAGGATTTCCTGAGCTTTTCTTTTGCACATCATCTCAAATTCAGAATCATCATCTGCTACTTTCTGAAGGTCCTTTTTTATATGATCCATTATCTTAATCAGATTTTTTTGTCCCGATTTCGCATGATAATATTCTACTATATTAATGCACACCCAGTTCTCGATCGCAGTGTCATTGTAAAAAGCCTTGAGTATTGGTTGTGTATTCATGATTATAAAGAAAAAAAAATGGTAGAAAAAGTGGAAAAAGAAAATTATAAACGCGTGATAGAGATCTAACGTATGTGACCGGGTATGATAAACTTACAAAAATTTTTATCAAACAATGATTGAAATCACATGACCAAAATTTTAGCGACGACCTGTCGTCAAAATCGCTTAGTATAAGTTACATCACAAAATTTATATGCTATGAGCTAATTGACTAAAATTGTATTAGAGTACTTCAGTACTTATTTCGGAAAAATAGCACTTCTCACAAATTTTATCATTATCTAAAAAATTTTGGTAGCAGTAATTATCCGAGGGCGTAATCGATTCTTAAAAAATTATCACATTCACATCGCTTATATATTCTATCCACTACCATTTTGCATGTTTTGCAATATAGATGTGAATGATGGTTGCATTCGTCACAAATCTTAAACCTGTGCTTTCTGCCTCTAAAGATGTGCCACTTTTCGAAGCAATTTTGTTTATCTTTACGTATGAGCATGCTATTCAGATTTTTTATCATTGTAAATATTAACAGAAAAAATAATCTATACGTGGCTAAAAAAATATTAATATAAAAATATATCTCTCAATTGTGATCTCAA